CCTCACTCAGCCAGTGAGCGGGAACCGGTCTGTATGTGGGATCCGAACCCTCGGCGGGAGCGCCACCGCGCTCCCAAGCGGCGCACTGTAGCAGTGCACCACTGGGCCGGCCCAGAAGTCTATGCTCTTGATCGCTACCTTATTCTACCTTTATCATGCCATTATCTTTCTCCCCCCCCATTAACACCCCCCAAACAGTTCTTATTCAGGCTAAATATGTCTAATTCCTTCAGCCATTCTTTGTGGCATGATTTGTGGACCTTCTACTGGATATATTCTGTTTACTTGGTTCCTTTTTAAAATTAGACACAAAATTGAATCACCTATTCAAGTCAAGTCTAACTAGGACAGTATACATCAGACTGTAATTCATAGGTTAAATCATTAGCATGTGGTAAAGTAGTGGATTTTTATTCTTGGGGAGTAATGCTACACGATTTATAGTTATATATATGTATAGTGTGTGTGCATGTATATGAATATGCATATATGTACATGAATGTGTGTGTGGATATATATAGTAGTACACATATGCATCCATTCATAAATTATATCATTAGCATGTGATAAAGTAGTGGATTTTTATTCTCAGGGACTAATGCTACACAATTTATAGCTATATATATGTATAGTGTGTGTGCGTGTATGTGAATATGCATATATGTACACAAATGTGTGTGTGTGAATATATAGTAGTACACATATATGCACCTATGCCTAGTAGAAGGCAATATAATATAATGGTTACAATGAGCTGTGGAGTCACACAGAATCCCAACTGTGCTGTAATTTCCATAGTCAGGTTACCCAGTCTCCTTATGTCCCATCTCATTGGTAAAATGGGAATAATACCACACATGTGGTAATTTAAGGATTAAGTTTATAATTATGAAATAACATAGTTCCTGACACATATATTAAGTGCTCTATAAATAGTTGATTCATTCATTCAACAGATATTTTCTGAGTGCCTGCTAACATTTACACTATTCTAGACCCTGGGGATATAGCAATAAAAAAAAAAAAGATGGCCAAAACTTTCTGCCTTCAGATAGCTTGTGTTTTAATGGGTGGAGGAAGGTTTAGACAATAAACATATAAATGAGTTAGTACATTGTACTTATCACCATTTTATATACTATGAAGAGGACCCTGGCTAGAGATGACAGGATTCTTGCCTGGGAAAAGCTGGCCACCTCAAGAGAAAAGACCTATAGGTACTGATATTTGAAGTGAAAAGCCAGGTTTACTGCTAACCCACTGAGACCCACCATTCTACAGATTTCCAGTCTGCTATTTAAGAGTTCTTAACATTTTTACTTTTTTCTTTTTATTTGGGCAAAATATATATAACATAAAATTACCATTTTAGCCATTTTTAAGTATACAGTTCTGGCATTACATGAACTCATTGTTATGCAACCATTGCCATCATTCATCTCCAGATTCATTATTCCAAACTGTAACTCTGTACCCAGTAAACACTAAGTCCCCATTCCCTTCTCTCCCCCAGTCCCTAGCAACCACCATTCTACTTTCTGTCTCTAAGAATTTGTCTACTCTAGGAGCCTCATATTACTGGAATCATACAATAATATGTGTTCTTTTGTGACTGGCTTTTTTCACTTAGCATAATGTCTTCAAGGTTTATCCATGTTACACCATGGATAATGTGTAAAATTTCCCTCCTTCTGAAGGCTGAATAATATTCCATATTATGTATAGACCATAGTTTGTTTATCCATTCACCCATAAATGGACAATTGGGTTGCTTCCACCTTTTGGCTGTTGTGAATAATGCTGCTGTAAACATGGGTGTACAACTGTCTATTTGACACCCGGCTTTTATTTCTATTTCCCAGATGTAGAATTGCAGGATCATATGGAAATTCTATATTTATTTTTTTATAGGAATTGCCATACCTTTTTCCATAAAGCCTGCATTGTTTTACATTCCCACTAGCAATGCACACGAGTTCCAATTTCTCCACTTCCTCACTAACAACTTATTATTTTCTATTTTTTTGTTTTTTGATAATAGCTATCCTAATGGATGTGAAATGGTGTCTTATTGTGGTTTTGATTTGCATTTTCCTGATGACTAATGATCTTGAACATTTTTTTCCTGTGCTTATTGGCTATTTATATATCTTCTTTGGTGAAATGTCTTTTTAAGTCTTTTGCCCATTTTTTTAATTGGGTGGTTTGGTTTTTTGTTGTTAAATTGTAGTTCTTTATGTATTGTGGATATCAGTCCTTTTTAGATGTATGACTTGCAGATATTTCTCCCATTCTGTGGGTTCCCTTTTCACTCTGTGGATAGTAGCCTTTGCACAGAAGTTTTTAATTTTGATGAAGTCCTGCTTATCTACTTTTTCTTTTGTTGCATGTGCCTTTGGTGTCATATCCAAGAAATCATTACCAAATTCAGTGTCATGAAGTTCTTCCCCTATATTTTCTAGTAAGAGTTTTATGCTCTTGCATTTGGATCTTTGATCCATTTTGAGTTAATTTTTGTATACAGTGTAAAAGGGCCCAACTTTACTCTTTTGCATGTGGATATCCAGTTTTCCCAGCACCGTTTTTGGGGGGAAAACAAAAACAAAACCTGTCTTTTCCAAATCGAATGGCCTTCAAGGCCTTTGTCAAATATAATTTGACTGTATATGTGAGAGTTTATTTCTGGGCTGTCTGTTCTGTTCCGTCGGTCTCTATGTCTTTATGTTTTTATCATGCTGTTTTGATTACTGTAGCTTTGTAGTAAGTTTCGAAATCAGGAGGTGTGAGTCCTTGAACTTTGTTCTTTTTCAGGATTATTTTGGTTACTCAGGGTCCTTTGAAATTCCATATGAATTTTAGAAAGAAATTTTCTATTTCTACACACAATGTCATTGAGATTTTGATAGGGCTTGCATTGAACCTGTAGATTTCTTTGGTTGGTATTGACATTATAAGAGTCCTTAACTCTCAAGTGTAAATGGACAGCTAAGAATAGCCAGATATTTGAGGAAAGCTTTTAACAGGAAAGACAACAGCACAAGTGGCCAATAGGGAACTCAGGAACAGTGC